ATCATTTAGACCAGTCATTGACGCAAAGTCGCAAAGTCATTGTTGTCACATGATACAAAGCTAATATATTTATATTCATTAGTTTATCCTTACAATTAACGATTTACCTTACATTTTTGGTGATTTTCACAGTAGAAATACCCACGCAATAAGTGGGTTGACGTTTCTTCTGCGCCTGCAATGTCAATTGTTCTACCACAGACAAACAGACGTAACACTTTGAAAAACTTGTTCTTGAAAACATAGTATCTCAAAACATATAACCTTAGTAATGACATCTCTCTGGCTTCTCGCGGAAAACAAGCTTGCTCGCTAACTCGTAAACAATATTGCATAAAAGTTCTATAGAATGTATAGAAACGTCAAAGTGATCTGATGCCAGCGCTGCGGCGAGTAGTTCGCGGAACTGATAATATTCAAATCAACCGTTAAATGCATGAACGAAGATACATAATGAAAAGTTACGTCTGTTTGTCTGTGGTTCTACATATTATCATAAACATCAGAATGACAGAACGGGTCCCTGTAATCACATCTATACAAATACATTCTAATTTGAGGTTTCGTCAAGCCTTCGAGGGGGTTCGCCGATTTGCCGTTTACTTAACACCAATCGTTTATCCGTTAATTTTGCTGATTGCATCTGAAACTGGACTGTCCCAAAAATGCAAAAAGTGTGATAAAAGTGCACGTTTCCGTCAAATTGTTTTGATGTCCTCGGAGCACTTATTGCTTGCATGATAAGGAATAAGTGCACCCAAGACACCAAGACGATTAGACGTAAACTTGCAGTTTTATCACACTTTTTAATAAGTGAAAACGCGCTTATTAGTCCAATTTGGTGTGAAATGCGCAATATAATGTGCACAATTTGTTGCTTCACGGTTAGGCAAAACATTTGTAGTGTTCACGATACACAAATATGTCGCTCGCACAAGTATATGCTGAACTACACTTGAAAAACATGTATTCAGGCGTTTCGGAAGTGCTTTCGGCACTATTTTCCTTTAACGGATACTGATACTGACTAGTCAATCAATTGAAAATGATAAGAAAAGTGATTGTAGTATGCCTTGATTTGTCTCTATATTAATATGTAATGTAGCAAAACACTGATTTTAATATATCAACTGGTCATAGACTCTGAGTGGTCACCGAATGGTCCCATGAAGGTCCGGAACGCCCTTAAAATTGATTACTTAATATATTTGATTTCTCTCTGTAACAATATGGAATGTAGCAAACTGCTAATTTTTATACATCAAGCAAGCTTCATGATTCCTGATCAAATCTTGAGAGATTGTCTGAGAAATATGGTTTTAGTTATTGACCTATTATAGATATTCAGAATAATATCTGATCAATCAGATGTCTTGACAAAATATCCAAAGGGTTTCATGATGATCTATATAAGGTTTTTTGAACAATTCCTGACTCACCTGCTATTTTACTTTAATTTTCAAGAGACGTGATTTGATTTATTTAAAAAAAATGGAGATGTTTAGAATAATTTTTGGTGGTATTGAAGTCTTTAGAAAACATCTAGAAAACTATATGGCGGTCTTTGATCTACTGAAGATCTTTAAAGTATTTCCTAATCATTCTTCATTGTTGAATACCTTCTACTGCTCAGGGGTTTTTTTTTAAATTTATTTACATGATTTATTTTTTAAGACTTTCAAGATAAAATGGAAAAAGATGGATTTTTTTTTTATCTAGCAGTACAGAAAAAAAATGTTTATTTTTTATTTTTATATGCACAAGTGCACCAATTTTAACTTAACTTGGCCAGCTGAAAAAAGAACTCACGAGTAAACTCTGATTCAAATTTCAGAAAAATATACACAGTCGAATTGCAATCAAGGTTTTTTGTTTTCTTATGGAAGTATTAAAATGTTTTCGATCTATTTTTTTTTGTTGAAAATCATGGGACATATTTTGTCAAGGTAAGCAACTTTGCCGAAGACATCAAGTATCCAAAACGTCAAAGAAAGAAGTTAGATTGTTGTGCCATCTTTGCGGGATGTCAATAGATGGTCCTTATTATGATGAGAAACTTTGCTCAAGACACCAAGTCTCGAAAATGCTTCGTTTCGGAGTTATTATTTTGCTCCACTAGATTGCATTCCTGGCCCAGTGTGCTATGAAGACAAACAGCAACGTCCAGAATTCATGATAAACTTCTTGCTCACGAGTTAAATTATAAATGCTGAAAAAAACTGTACCAGGGTGTCGGGGTGTGTGCCGATGTGAAGTAAGGTATACTGAAATTGAGCCGCATCCTACCAATCAGCCAGATTTTTTCAAAATATCCACAGACCATAGTGCAGGTACATGATTTTCGGAAGGAATTTGGAAAAAAAATCCTGATCAACCTACACTTGCGAGAATTTGTAGGAGACATGATTTTATTTATTGAACTATAAGAAGTCTTCAGAATAATAATTAACTGACCAGAAATATCCTGATTCCTAATACCATAGTGTACTGCCTATAAAAGCATAACTGTCCCATATGAATAGGAAATCAAGCAAAGATGGGACAATTATGCTTTTATGGACAGTGTAGGTCTATGACCTTCTGAAGTTTATCGGTAAAAATTGATCAACCTTCTTTCTTGCGAGAATATCTAAGAGTCATGATTTCATTTATTGAATTATGAAGGTCTTCTGAAGGTCTTCTCTAATCACGCTACTCTTGCGATAATATCTAAGAGACATGATTTGATTTTTTAAACAATTTGAATAATATCTATATAATAAATCTTCAGAATAATAATTAACTAACCAGAAATATCTCCTAAGGGCGAGTCCATCAAAATTCCTAGAAAGAATTTACGGATCAGGCAAGTTGGCGTTCAACTAAACGTTCAAACGGGAAAACCCTATTATCTCCATAAAATCACAAACACGATAATCGCTCAGAGAGTCGGTGAGAGCTAACCCATAGAGAGATTTTATCCACATCGGCAGTCTCGTCACTTGCCACTTGCCGTCATCCCGATCTAGAAGTGAACTACTCTTCCTAACATTCAAACATTTACAATCTTCAGAATAGTTATGGTAGAACACTTCTTAGCTATAATGGATCTATTTCCGTCATACGCGTCAAATACAATGAAGACAAACAGCTATGTCCAACATTCATGTATCAAATTCTTTGCTCACGAGTTAAATTATGAATACTATTTTAAAAATTGTGCGGGGCTGACGGAAGACTGGGGTGTGCCGAAATGAAGTGAGGTATACCGAAATGGTGCCGTGCTATACCAATCAACCAGATAAATTTCCAAAATATCTAGAGACATTAGTACAGGTCCATGGTCTTCTGAAGTTTTTTGGAATAATTTTGATCAGCTTTCTTTCGTGCGATAATATCTAAGAGTCAAAATTTAATTTATTGAACAATAAGAGATCTTCAGAATAATTAAAAATCAATCAGGAGATTTTCCACATTACTCAGAGATCATAGTGCTGGTCTATTTGTCTTCTGAAAGTATATGGAAAAATTCTTGATCAACCAACTTTTGCGAGAACTACATGATTTGATTTATTGAACAATTAGAGGTCTTCAGAATTGTCAAAAAACAGCTCATGCTGTTAAGAAGGAGTCATATCCAAGAAAGATGGTACATTGAGAATTTTCAAAAGCTTTTATCTGTCAAAGAACAGCTCAAGATACAAAGAAGGAGTCAACTCCAATAGCAACATAATTTATGAGTATTTTATGATAGAATTTTAAAAAGCATTTATCCGTTAAAAAACAACTTATAGTATAATGAAGAAAGGAGTCAACCCAAAGCAAGAAATGATTTGTGCATTTCCATTGCATTTTTCTAAAGAGAATAATTATTTGTGAATGCAGTACCTGTTCGGCTTTGGCAGGGTTTGAATTTGGCAACAAAGCAACAAAGCTGTTCGATTTTGGGACGGGGTTCGATTATGTATTTTCGCTCCATGCAATCACAGTTTTTAATAAAATTAAAATTATTAAAGTCTTAGTCTTGAAGATGATTCCTCCCTACTTCTCGGTGGTCCAACATCATCGAAATCATAAAATAAATTTCAAAATAAAACCGTTCGGTTTTTGCAACACTACATTTTCGGGCTTGTTGACAAAATACATATAACGGGGCAGGCTTGCTTCCACTCACTTGCTATAAAAAATATATTTTCGGATTTTTGGAATAGTTAGATGTTAAAATGACAATTTGTACCTGTTAGGTACAAGAAGACGCTGGAGGGCAAGTGTTTGACACATAAAACTAGTCAAACTTGCTTCCAGATAGTCACAATCGTCGATTTTACGACTCGCGAGCGCTCACTCTGAGTGAACGCTCACGAATCATAAAATCGCTGATTGTGACACTCTGAAAGCGAAATTGACTGGTTTTATGTGTCGAACACATAGTTTACAACTTCTTCTTTTAACTTACAAGTACAACATATCATAATAACATCTAATGACTTTATAACTTAGAAAAACATTTTTTTATAGCAAGTGAGTGGAAGCAACCCTGTAACGGGGGCATTGCAATTGATTAAAAAAACCAATACAACAAAATTATGGCTAACGTCTGTTAAAGCTACCGTACATTATGGCTATTGGCTATGGCAAACATGTTAATGTTCGGTCCAGAGCTGAGACTTTGAAGAAAATCGTTTTCTCATCCGATGATAGTGACAGAAGCGTCTGTGTAAAAATCGCGTGAGATCTTTCATTGAACATGACATTTGCCGACCCTGGTCCTAGTCACCTTTGTTTGTTGTTAAGTTTAAATTAGTTTCATTAGAAATCATTATTTATTTCTGAAAACTTCACACATTTCAATGCCGACAATGTGCATGTCGTCCATGACACGGTCCCTCGTTCTGTCGGTTTCATTTCAATTCCACCACACCCGCATAGAGAGTGCTTCGGATGGTGAGTTCAACCATCCTCTCACTAGCGTTTGTCATCGGTCGTTCTTTACTCTTCCTCGTTCTCCCCTATCAGTCAGTTACATTACCGTTGCATTCACCCTCACTTCACTTCATTCGCCGAATGGTACGACTCAGTGCCGGTCGATTCTTTTTTAATACGTGGTGAGTACGGTCCTACATTTTGTACGGTTTTTGGCTGAATTATTCTAAGCCGTTCAAATTCGTTTTCAAACTTTTACATAACACAGTGCTTCGCTAATCCGTAGAAGTGCCACCGCCAGAATGGGTGAAGCTCAGGGATTGACGGACAAGGAAGCGAAGGAGCTGCTGAAACTTCCCGATGTCGAGACGAAGGTGAGTGTGTGGGGTCATTTTAAATAGAATTCAGAGACCATCACCTACAAGCGGGGAAAGTTGGGAGTGAGGGGTTAAGTTGCATGCATTTGAATAATGAACACTTTGATGGCAATTGTGTACCTTTCCGGAGAGGGAATGATTTACGCATCATTGAGGTGCAACAGAATTGGGTCATTCGTTTGATTAGATTAAAGTTTTAACTTTTAAGCAATTGAACATAAACCAACGATATTTGATAACCCTCTTATCGCTTGTTCTTGGAATGTATTTTTAATGTTTGTCTTGTGTGTTATCTATACGCCTTCAGCTGATAAGATATGAGATTCAATGATGATTTTCAGATTCTGTTCAGGTGATCTGTCCAGAGAATTGTTTTCCTCAATGCATATTTTGTATCTGTTGTGCGGAAATTTATCTACCGTCACCAACCTGTTGGTGTGAGTGCTAACATTTCCGTGATGGATGCACTCTGTGAGCAGACAAGATCTTGTTGATTTTGGCGCTCGCACTGACTGCCGGTTTGAGTGATGCTAAACTGTTTACTTATTATTGTTTGAATACACCATAAGCCTTTCAATTAGGTATATTTCTGCTTTGGTATGAGGAATGAAGGCGCCTTGACATATCTACGTTGGTGATGTTTTTGTTTTTATTTGTCACTAGTTGGTGTATTGGTGATGTAATACAGTTGCAGTATTTTTCAGCTAGATTAGAATTTGCATATCTAGATTTGCGTAAACGGCGTGTTTTTTTCTTCAAAATATCTTAAGCATGTAGGGGAAATATCGGCTTCGGCAATATCTTAACCTATTACCGTCAGGTGGGTAAACAAAGTCCGAGAGCACTCAAATTTGGCCAATAGATGCTCTGAAACACAATGTATCCACATGCCAAAATTGAGCTCTCAAGGACGTTATTTACCCCCTGACGATAATAGGTTAAGGTATTGCCGAAGCCGACATTTCCCCCATATGATCGATTGATTTACAATGTCTGTCAGAAAATGTATGATCGCAAACGGGGAGAAGTTAATTAATGTTCACTTGAAAACTAGAATATTTTCCAACAATAAGTGCGATGCACGAACAAATACCTTTTAAACAAGCATTGACCACTGAATTCTGTGCTAAAATGCATGCATGCTGAATCAAGTGCGTATTTAAGAAGCAACCTTGACTGCATGTATAGAGTTTAGATTTCACCTTAAAATTTTTTTAACAAAAAGTTTTAAAATTGATTAAAGATGCTAATATTCAACTCTGTATTGAAGTTGATTTGGATTGAAATACTGACTGTAACGTTCAAATCAAGCATTACAGTTATAATTCAGGCTCCCAGAATATAAATCCGGCATAATCAAATTTACAGAAATGGGAAATAAATTGCAAATGAGTCTTAATGAAGGCTGCAAATATACAGATAAAAACAAAATGTTTCTCAGAATTATGAAATCGTTAGATGTTATGATCATATTGTTTATTTCTAAGGTACAAGAAGAGGTTGCAAGTTATGTGTTTGACCAGGGTAGCCAGCCAACCGGGAAAACAGAGAAATAACCGGGAATATGTCAAAGACCCGGGAATTTTTAGGAAGTGTCCTTTTTTGGCCCTGCCGGAATCGGTTCTGGGTATCCAGATGTGACCAGATCCACCTGTTGGTCGATGACCTGATGTTTATTTACTTCTTGATGCAAAATAATACGTGATGAGTCGTCGGACGGTACCAGTACGTGAGGATTTGAAAGTGTTTGTTTTTTAGGCCGTGTCAGAAACGGTTTCGGGTATCCAGATGTTGCTAGATCCACCTTTAGGTCCATGGCACGATATTTATTTACTTCTGGATGAAAAATCATAAATTTTGAGCCGTCGGGCGGTACCAGTACATGTGTTTTTGAAAGTGTTTTTTTGAGGCCCTGCCAGAATCGGTTCTGGATATCCGGATGTGATCATATCCACCTGTGTGTTCATGACATGATGTCTTTTTACTTCCGGATGGAAAATCATAAATTTTGAGCCGTCTGACGGTACCAGCCTGTGATCTTCAATGACAGTCGAACCCAACTAACAATTCTAGCTGCCGATTAGCTTTTGCCTGTGCATGCTGGTCTGCAGCTACAATTTTTTGTTGAGAAGGCTCTCCCAGTATTTTTTTAACTAGAAAATAAACAATCATGTTGTCGAATATTTCATCCAAATCAGTTGTTAAAATGAATCGAATCCTAGTCACCCTAGTGAACCGGAAAATCAGGAAAACCTCCGACGATCTCGGAATGTCTCCTAGGTTAATGGAACTTGTCTAGTATAAGATAGGAGCGGGCTGGCTGGTTTTGAGCCAAACGAATTGTCAAAGCCAGAGCCAATCGAGCAGCGCCTATCTTGTTTGTATTAGCAGTGTTGCTAGAAATCACCTAGGCATAGGTTGCCAAGACAGTTTGTTTTGAATCCGCTCCTCTCTTATACTAGACCCTTCTATTTCATGTTTATTAGCATTAGTTTTAACATATATACGATATACGATGATGGTATGATATATGTTAAAAGTAATTCTAATAAACATGAAACCCTTCCAGTTGCCTCTGAAGAAGGCTGCCAAAACAGCCGAAACGTTGAACTTTGTTGATGTTTTTGAAAGTTCCCTGAAATTTTGTAATCTTCACCGAAGTTCTCGAAACTTCCTCGAAACTCTTGGAAAATTTTGGATAAGTTCAAAAAACTTCATCGAACGTACAAGAAACTCAGCGAAACTTCAAAATTGTCAACAAAAAGTTCAAAGTTCCAAAATCTTCACAAGTTACAAAAATTTCAAAGAAGTTCAGCAAAAGCTTTCAAGTTCGTTTACCATCACCAAAGTTCAAATATGTTAAGCAAAGCTCCATTAAAGTCAGTGAAAGTTCAAGAGGTTCAGTGAAATGCGGACAACTTAAAAGAAGCTCTTGATACTTTAGTAAAGTTCAGAAAGTTTCAGCAATGTTTTAAAAAAATCAGTGATGTTTCAAACATTTTAGAAAAATTACAAATACTTCAGTGAAGTTCTAAGAACTTGCGATAAGCTCTGAGAACTTTGGAAATATTCCGAATACATTGGAGAAGTTTCAAGAACTTTAAAGAATTACTGTGATGAACAGCAAGGAATTTAGCTAAGGATCAAGAGCGCCCGCAAAGTTCTAAAAAGTTTAGCAATGATTCAGAAATATCTACAAAAGTCCAAGAATTTCAGAATAGTTAAAAAATTCAGCGATGTTTCAGAAACTTCATCAAAGTTTGTATATGTTTACAAAAAGTTCATAAATAAATATCAACATGACGGTTTAGTGTGATAATTTATTAACTACATAGATACAGTTCTGAAGATGATAGGTTGATAGCTCCGCTAGAGTACACCAGTATGAAAATTGAACAGAAGTTGAAAATGAGCAAAGGCCATAAATGCGACTACTAGTCAAACGCTTTCAGACACTTAGACTATATGTTTTTAGTATTACTTCTACGTGAAGTCAACGATTTACATAGTTGAAGATGCTGATTTCAAATGACGGACTGTAGTGGTAATTTTTATACGATAGATGGAGTAGATGAAAGCATAGAGTTGATAGTTCCGTTAGAGTACGGCAGTGTGAAGATTGTATATAGATATTAGAATAGCGAGCTAGGACAACTTTTCAGGAAGGTACAAATCGGTTTTTTCATCTCTCTTTACCAAACACCCCCTTTGGAGAGGGATGGTGAGGGGTGTCCCCCCGCCAGTGGTGGCTGAGCAGAGTTTTAAGAAAATTCCGATGATAATTCCAAGGTCACCCGAGATTAATTATTTGAATTTGATAAAAAAAAACCTCAATTAATTTCCAGAAGAATTTGGAGGAGAAATCCAATATAATTACAAAAGTGTAAGACAATTCTGAGGTGAGTTGCATAAGAATTCTAAAGAGAATTCAAGCGATTTTTGGATTTTATTATGGAATGAAGGTTCAGTTAATTCATTTATTAAACTATAAAATTCGAAGAGAATCTAAGGATGAATTTCATGAATTTTATTTAGTATTCTGCACAAAATTACTTAAATTAAAAAAATCCCTGAGATAATCTCAAATTTATTTTAGATTATTTATGAAAAGAACTTTGTTAATTAAAATTACTTAAGATACTTTATAAAAGTTCTTCTTTTACTTTTATGTCACTTCGTTAAAGTTTAATGAACTTAAACACATCAGGAAATCCCGTAGAAATTCAGGAAACTTTGTTGAACTTTAGAGAACTTTGTAGAACTTCAGGAAACTTTGCAGGAAATCATGGAAGTTCTTAATAGTTCAGAACGTCGTGAAACTTCACAGAAGTGCTGGGATGTTTTTCATAGTTTATGGAACTTCAGAAGTTCATCCAAAATTATAAAATTTTAGTGAACTTACTGGAAATTCCGGAAAATTCGTAGAAGCTCAGGGTGTATTGTCAAAGTTCAACATACGTACTTCTTAGAACTCCAGGGTTTGGTTTTGGAACTGAATGGAAATTTTGGGAACTTTGTTTTGCCCAGATGTTTAGGAAAATTCGTAGAAAACGTTCCTGAATTTTGGAGAAGACCAAGGATATCCTTAGGTCATAGTCGAATTGAGAGAATTGAAATAATAATAATTATGGAACTTGGAAGAAGTTGAGAAGATTTTTAGGAATTAAAGATTAAAGAATTTTGTAGATGTCCAAGGGAACATTGGAGCAATTTTTTCTCCCCTCTGAATTTTGTTTGGTGGCCTTCACCACCTGCTGAGTATGGTGCTGCATCTCTCACATTTTAGTCTTCAGATTGGTTCCCAAACTGTTTAAGCCTACCTTGGAAATTCTTTATAAATTCTCTACTCTGTGTCGCAGTAGATTGAAAATTTGTCGATATTCCAGAAGTATGAAAATTCGTCGAAGTCTCAGAATCTCTGAAGTTCTCAGAATTCGACACCTAGGCTAGGCTAGGCACCAAGATTAAAAACATTGAAATTTGATTTTCCATTGGCCTAATGTCCTTCGGTCCAACGTTATTTGGCCTAATGTCGTTTGGCTTAGTGGACTTTGGTCTAGCGTTCTTTGGCCTAGCATCCAATGGCCTATCGTTCTTTAGCCAAGCGCTTTTACTGTTCCAAAATGTTATAAAATATAGTTAAAAATGTGATGCCTGGAGCTTAATTTTTTTCCTTGTATCAAAATCATACACGTTAGGGTAGGCTCCAGGTTTGAAAACATGAAATTTGAGTTATCTTCAACCTAATATTCAACGACCTAATGTCCAATGGCCTAACGTCCAGCGGCATAGTATCCTTTCCAAGCAACATTGCAAGTTTTATGGTGGTTTTAAAGTATTTTACAAGTCTTAATCATGGTCTACAGAACCCTTAGAAATCCATAAATACTACGTGGGTAGTGTCCAATGGCCTAATCAAGCAACATTGCAAGTTCTATGGTGGTTTGAAAGCATTCTACAAGCCTTATTAATAGTCTACAGAACCCTTAGAAATTCAGAAAAGTTATTTCAGTAGTGTCCAATAGCCTAGTGTCCAATGGCCTAGTGTCGCTTCTAAGCAAGTTTTGCAAGTTTTATCGTGGGTTTAAAGCATTATACAAATCTAAATCAATAGTGTCTAATTACAAAAAATCTAATGGCCTAATGTATGGCGGGCTAGTGTCTAATGGCCTAGTGTCCAATGGCCTAGTGTCCAATGGCCTAGTATCTAATGGCCTAATGTCCTTTCCAAGCATCAAGTTCCAAGTTTTATGGTGGTTTGAAAGCATTCCACAAGCCTCACTAATGATCTACAGAAAAATTATTTGGGTAGTGTCCAATGGCTTAGTGTTCAATATCCTAGTGTCCACTGTCCGGGTGTACAGTAGCCTAGTGTTCAATGGCCAACCCAAGCAACATTGTAAGTTTTATGGTGGTTTTAAAGCATTTTACAAGTCTTAATCATTTTTTTTTTATATCTTTATTAAGGAGACTTTCAGCCCTGGGCTCAGTCTTAATCATGGTCAACAAAACTCTAATTAATCCAGAAATGTTACTTGAGTAGTGTCCAATGTCCCAATGTCCAATGGCCTAGCGTCCAATGGCCTAGCGTCCAATGGCCTAGCGTCCAATGGCCTAGCGTCCAATGGCCTAGCGTCCAATGGCCTAGCGTCCAATGGCCTAGCGTCCAATGGCCTAGCGTCCAATGGCCTAGCGTCCAATGGCCTAGCGTCCAATGGCCTAGCGTCCAATGGCCTAGCGTCCAATGGCCTAGCGTCCAATGGCCTAGCGTCCAATGGCCCAGCGTCCAATGGCCTAGCGTCCAATGGCCTAGCGTCCAATGGCCTAGCGTCCAATGGCCTAGTGTCCAATGGCCTAGTGTCCAAAAGCCTAGTGTAATTACCTACCCTAGCGACATTGCAAGTTTTATGGTAGTTTTACAGCATTCTACAAGCCTAAATAATGGTCTACAGAACCCTTAGAAATTCAGAAAAGTTACTTGGGTAGTGTCCAAAGGCCTAGGGTCCAATGTTCTAGTGACCAATGTCCTAGTGTCCAATATCCTAGTGTCCAGTAGCCTCATGTCCAATGGTCAACCCAAGCAACATTGCAAGTTTTATGGTGGTTTTAAAGTTTTCTACAAGTCTTAATCATGGTCTACAGAATCCTTATAAATGCAGAGAAGTCCCTTTGGTAGTTTCCAATGGCCTAGTCTCCAATAGCCAAACGCCCAATGGTCTAGTGCCCAATCAACACGTTTTGGAAATTTTTAGTTTGTACGGAAAGCAGATTACCGGGGCTCAAATTAAGACGTTTTCAGATTAAAAACAGTCAAATTACCCAGTATCAGCAAAATATTCCCTATTTTAATGGAGCATGAAAAAAAAATGTACTTGTTCTGTTTTCAAACCAACAAACGACTCACAAACCCGTTTTTTCACCGTCATTTTCTAATGATACTAGGCACATTCTACATGCAAACCACTTTCTGGATGCTTTCCAAGTGCATATTTTTGCAAAAAGTAGTAAGTAGCTGTTTACACAAAATGATACAAGTTTTCATCCAGTTTTGAAAATCAGCTAACGAATCTTTGTCAAAAGGTCAAAGGGACAAAAGGTCGAACGAACAGAAGACTGAATTGAACTTAGTGGGACAAAAGGTTGAATGAACAAAGTCGAATTGAAATTAGAGGGACAATAGGTCGAAGGGACTAAAGGTTGAAAGGATAAAAGGTCGAATGGACAAATGTTCGAATTGAACTTAAAGGAACAAAATGTCGAAGGGACTAAAGGTCGGACTGAACTTAAAGGGACAAAAGGACGATTTGATAAAAAGTCTAATTGAACTTAGAGGGACAAACGGTCGATTGACTAAAAGATCGAAATGTAAAACAGTCAAAGTGGACAGAAGTTCAAAAAAATCAACATCAATATTGAAAAAATACTGTTTAGAAAATTCCGCTCAGAGTTTAAAAGAACTTTAATAAAATGCTATGCATATACTCCCAAAGAACTGCTCATCATTTAAAGAAGAAATGTATTCTAGAGAAAGGCAAATATTTGTCTCTTTAAAATTGGCGCAGCTATCTAGTTATCTTATTTTTTCCAAAGAACTGCTCATGAGAGCAAAGCAAAAAATAATTGAGAGTTAGCTGCCCATTTTATCCCCCAAAATTTGACCGCTTAAGGGCGATTTTGTCAAAACTGAGTTTTTCAATGGAAATAGTAGCTCTGTTCTGAAAAAGTTTGGAAAGATAGCAATTTGGCTATCCCATCACATAAGAAGCAATGGTACGAAGAAACCTTCGAACGCGATTTTCAAGGATGGGCTTTCAAGATGTGGTATAAAGTAACAAGAATTATAACACTTATATTGAAGATCCTCTGATCATGCTGTGGATGTTATCTTACCTTTCCTTTCCTTGTTCAGACTGTATTCTTATAACATATCTTACATTAAATATGATTAGAAGCGTGTCTTCACTAACAACCGGCTTATTCAGCTTTTGATGAACCTAAATGTTTGTTAGGTACATTGCAATGAAAAATTCGACCTTCTTAATCTTCCACCGTTGATCGTTACTATTCCTCTTGAAACACACTCTAGACATGTTATAAGCATTTTTGTCTCAATATGTTGCATTTCTTTCGCAGGACTTCCTCTTCCAGCAAACAATGTACCGAATCAAGGATCCCCGTGCGTCCCTTCCCTTCTACAATGAAGTCTTGGGAATGAACTTGCTGTGCAAATTGGATTTCCCGGAAGCCCAGTTCTCGCTGTACTTCATGGGGTAAGTTCGCGATAATCGAAACAGCCTTCATTACTCACCCTACCGCATTGCAGCTACGAAGACATTGGCAAACAGCCCGCCGATCGGAAGGAATGCATTAAATGGGCCATGAGTCGGAAAGCCACTCTGGAGTTGACGCAGTGAGTAACGTGAATTTTCCAACATGACAGACTCGTTCTTAACATCAACCCTTCCATTGAAGCAACTGGGGCACGGAATCGGATCCGGACCAGAAGTACCACAACGGAAACGCTGAACCACGGGGCTACGGCCACATCGGAATCATGGTGCCGGATGTGACGAAGGCATGCGAACGGTTCGATCGGCTCGGTGTGGAATACGTGAAGCGTCCCGAGGATGGCCGCATGAAGGGGCTGGCCTTCATTAAGGATCCGGACGGCTATTGGATCGAGATCTTCAATGCTTCCACGGTGGCCTAGATGTAGATGAGCTTTTTTTTTGGAGGGAGAGAAAGTGCTTTTCTTGTTGTGGGGGAAATGATGAAGGTTCAGGACGAGGCAACTCTTGTTTTGCATTGTTTCCATTTGGGTATACGCGTTGAAGAAATTATTGCCTTATATTTATTCGTTTTTGTCATGATTTTGATTACAGTATATAATAAATCGCAGAATATGAAAGTTGATGAGGGTATAACAAATTTGGTGCTTGATTTCTGTTCTGAAGTTCCATTATTTTAAAGTTTTTGTACACACTAACCGTTGTATAAATAGGGGAAATGGATGTACTGTCGGTCTAAATGCCCCCAATTTGGACCCATACATAAATTCAGCAATCGACTATTTTTTCAATAGCGACCAAAAATATCCATTACTACCGTCCCAATCACGCGGTCCTCTAGATAAAATTGATAAAAAGCAGATTTTTAGCGATGGGCCCAATCTTAGATCCATAGGCTAACATTAGAGCCATTTCCCCTATATTTAAAACAGTGAAATTCATATTTCTGAATTGGTAAGCTTCTTAAGCTTTGTTGAATATATCTATTTCAGGTTTCGCATCATAGATAATGCACCTACTATATCTTTAAGACCAGGCATGGAAAATCATTTGCATTCATTTCGTGCATTCATTTACATTCATTTGCCCCTAACTTTTTTCCCTTATGCATCACGAATTAGAGCGGGCAGAACTCGTTACTGTTTTTCAGAGAATGTAAAATACATTCACTGAAAAACAGTAGTGGATTCTGTTTGCTCTGGTTCATTATGCATAAGAGATACGGATTTGAGTTCTTAACAAAAGTTGTAGCTTATAACAAAACCTACAAAAGTTAATACATCATTTTGCGGAATTCTGTTGATGAAAAAAGTTAGGGGCAATGGGGCAAATGAATGTAAATGAATGCACGAAATGAATGCAAATGATTTTCCATGCCTGTTTATGACGATTGATAAAGAAAGTTGCATTATAATCCCCAGATTATTAATATTGTTCGAATTGGTGTAATTTCATTCCAGTAGCTATTAGAGGTCGTTCTAGACTCAAAGATGATGTTCTGTGCTAACAAATATTATTTACCTAGATCTTTTTTTTCAATCTCTTGGAATGAAAAAGTTGCGTACAAGTTTTAACAAATAACTACACTGTCGCTGAGAATTATTCAAAATTACATAAGATTTCACTTATTTTGGCAAAAATCGGGGTTACTCATGCAATGAATAAATGCAGTATTCAAGAATTGCATAGATATTGCGAAAATGAGTAACGTCTACTCAATTGTATGTACCTTTTTTCTCGATTTATAAGTAAGTACCGTTTACCGTTGTTTGTTTTTTTTCCAGAAATGAGTGAAATAACACTCAATTTAGAATTAGTCTCAGTGGTGGTGGTTAGCGTGACTGCCTCTCACTCTAAAGGGCCTTTGGTTCAATCCCAGTCGGCCCGTCGGGATTTTCTGAGGCATAAAATTTCTGACCACGACTTCCTTCGGAAGGGAAGTAAAGTCGTTGTTCGATAGGTAAGGGTCCAGGTGTGGGAGCTGCCTCCTTAGCGTCAGTAGCTTTGGTACTCAGTGTGGGAAACAAGATCAACGGAAAACAAATCAATGAAAATAAAAGAACGACCGTGTATTTTTATGGTTTGTACAAGTTCTTTTGGTTTGAGCCTATGCTAATTAACAGTCATACATTCAAAAAAAATATCACATATCTAATGGATGAAATCCATTAAAGATCACAAATCCTGTGATCCCTTAGCTGCAAATACCTCCACAAAATCACATGAATATTATGAGGCCGTTGAAATTCATTTGAAAAATCATATAAAAATAATGTGATCGCATAAATCTTATGTGAAATTCAGATGAATTCCATTAATTTCGATTATGCATGCAAATCATGTGAATTTCCAATGGAAGCTGTATGAAAACTATTTTCGGTGTAACTTAAGCGGTAAACAAACGAGGAATCGAGAAGCGTCAATTTTCCCAAACATATTCAGCAGGGTGGCCAGCAAACATGGAAAACCGGGAATACCGGGAAATATCCGGGAATTTGAAAAGTAACCGGGAAAACCGGGAAAGAAAATATTGAAGATGCGGGACTTTGGAAACAAATATTTTTAAAAACCGAAACTGTATTATTCTTTTCCGGTCTTTGTTCAAAATTCTCATGATATTAATTCCAGAATTTACCTGAAATTCTGGTCTGAATTATCATGGAATTCTTCTGAAATAAATCAGAAAACACTACTCGTAATAATTACTGTTGAATTCTTTTTTGGAATTTCCTTGCAACCCCTTCTAAGAATTTATTTGGAATCCTTCTTAGAATTTCCTTGAACCTATTCGGAGACTACGATTCCTTTGAAAATCTTTTCAAAAATTTCTTTTAACTCTTTTCAAAACAGCAGACATCATTCGAAATTTTATTAAGAAACACTTTGGAGTATTTTAATGAATTTCTATCTAATTATCAGGATTTTTTTCAATCAATTTTGTTGGAATTCTGTGATGAATCTTTCGCATTAGGGTTGAAATTATTGCCAGAATACTCTTATAGAACTCTGTTTCTTGTTGATTTTTGTCATAATTCTTTTCTTTAAATTCACCTGTCATTTTCCTGATGATCCCCATACAAATCTTTTTTCTTTTTATTTTCTTTTTTTAGGAGATTTTTAGCCGTAAGCTAGTTTATCTCCGTCCCATACAAACTTCTTCAGAATCACGTAGGAATTTTTGTTTTTCACAACTCCTTTTGAAATCCTCTAAAACTACATAAGAATTTTATTTAGAACTTGCATTCTTCTCCACAGAAATCTCTTCTTGGGGAAAGTGATCCAATTTTGGCCACGGTTTTCCGTCTCGGTCACATCTTAAAGAAACGCTTATGTTTAAAACTTCTAGTGTTTCATATTGCACATCAATCTCAATGAAACTAAAGCTTTCGAACTTGTTAAACAATTGTATTGTTGACGACACATGGCCAAAACATGAGCATTTTTCGTCACTGAGATAAACCTAGTGATAAAGTTACTTTTACTTAATTTATGATTCATTTCTAAAAACCATCGATACTTAGTGCAGGGGCCTCAATTGGGAAGCCGAAACGAAGCGTTTTCCTTATTAACAAAAATAATAAATTAACGATAACTCAAATGGTAAAACTATTCCTCAACTTTGGACGATACCTCATACCCATGTTATGCAAAATAACCATTATTATTTTACTAGGGTTCTCGTTTCGTCTTGCTTACATAAGCCCTCTCATAAGGCTACTCTGCCGTGGTTTAAAAAAAAAACTCATGCAACTGATTAAAGAAGAGTCACTTTTACTCATGTGCTTGAGAAATTTCTATAAACGCAGGTCACGCAGCGCTTACTATGCTTACTGCGTTTTTAGATATTTCTCATGCAACTGAGTAAAAGGAACTCTTTCTCTGAGTTAGTCTCATCGGTCGTACAAGGTACATGCTACCTCAAGCCACCTAGTGATCAATAGCGAAAACGAGAAGAAGAATCAAATACACTCATTTTTTACAGCATTTTAAGATTGCACTCGTACTTCCCCGTGGAAAATTTTGAAACCATCATCACTTTCATAGTTCATAGTTCTTCCATTCTCCACGAGTGCCAACTTTGATTTGCCAATTAAGATTTTCATAAATCTAGTTTAAATATTAATATCCGATTCGGTAAGCACCAAGAAGGGATAAGGAAGAAGAGTATTAGACCAACAATTGAAATAGGCGGAACAACCATACGTAAACGGTTTTTATCGCAAATTTATTGAAAATCAATCCACACCTACGCAAACTAACAATGCCATTCGATAAAGGAAGTTTGTTCTTTAAGATGCTGGGGTAAGATTGTTTTGATTCCCGATAAATTTGCGCTTAAAGCCATTTCTTACTTAACGTAGCTTTGATATTTCTTTCCACGCCAACCGAACGCAAATCAAAAGTATCACCGGATAGGGGAAACTTTCTCCAACCCGATGATGGTGTTAGTTTGCATTTGCGAGAAAAGGGTTTCCGAAGTTTTGTTCGCAGAAGCTGATGTGCTCTTTTCTGTGATATGCTCGATTAGTTTCGCTATTTGGCAACTCAATTGGTTCCCGAGATTCTATCCGCCAGACTATTAATATAGCGAATATACTTATGTGCAACGAAACCAATTCCATGTGAAGAAAATCGAACTTAATGCTATCCAGTAAACGTAAAATTCTACTGGCTGGAACAGGAATTGAATCCTCATTTCGTGGCCGCTAACCGCACGACCATGAAACCCACCCTTAATCTAATAGGCCTCTCTTGACTACTCTTCAAAGAGTCCCAGTGATTTTCCAACCAGTCCAAAACATTCACCCTTAAGTCACTAATTAATCCTCACCCTGAATTCAATCACTAACAAGTTCGATATCACCCAACTATTCCCAACGTCTCCAAGCTATTCATCGACGTAAACCAACAGTGCATCGTATTTTTTTTAACATATTCGTATTCTCCCATAAGCTCGTACCTGCCAACCTGCCCTAACTCACATAACATATGTGGAACTCGATCATAAAAAGTCGACCCCATTTCAGTGATTTCAAGTGGTATAGTAAGACATCGATCTGTCAAACTGATTATACCAGTTGTGAATTGAGAAAGGAAATCAAGGGGGTAGTCAATTCTAATAAAATATTTCTAACGTGATTTATAATTCTATGCCTTCTTTATAATTATATAGCTTTTTTTTAAACTATAAATTATCATTTGCATAAAAAGGAAACATTTTTCGAAGATGTTTTAAGCGATGACCTGCCACCTCAAAAACGTAATTTTAAGCTGCCATGTGTTAATTGTTTACAATTCAATTTTGAATGCGATACGTATTGCTTTTCTGTAATTTTGACCAAACATTTGAGAAACTCCAAGCGAATACTTGTACATTTCTTTAAATTTGTGTGGGTATTTTTTTCCATTTGCATTCTCAATGATAAACTTAGATAACAAATGTATGTACCATTTTTTCCATATATTTTTTTTTGTTGGAACCAATTACATCAAACTTGGAATTCATTTCATAACGTAGGAAAAAAATACGACCGCACAAATTAGGAGTTTGATGCATAGAGTTTAAAGCAGCAACATTTTACAACAAGTGTCCTGGTTTATATATATA